TCTTATCTATTACTTACACGTAAAAACAACAACATATAATCGGTTGTTGCTAAGAACCAATTTATTTAATAATATGCCAACGCACATAAAGACTGACCTTGATCTTAAATGAAACTCTAAGATTAAAAGTAACTGGCGCTCTAGAAGTTAAATGAAATCCTAATATGGATCTTTTTATAATATGATAATTTACTTAGGCAGTCGGACAATGAGCTAATGAGCTGTTAGTTTAATATCGATTATACTTGATTAGCTATATAATATTCACTAATATTTCTATATTTTTTTATACAAAAGACTGACCATGACTGTTAAATGGAACCCCAAAATTAGAAGGAATTGGTGCCACTAGAACTTAAATGGAAGTCTAAGATGGATCTATTTATAATATGATAATTTATACAATATTGGACAAATGAATTGGTGTATATCTACAAAAATATGAATGAAAAATACAAAACATTAAATAGTACATCACACTAATTTTATGAGAGAGGTTATATATGGTAGATATAAAATATAAAACATTAATGATTAGATATTACTTCAGGCTAATTTTTTCAAGCCGAACAATTTTTGATTAAATGCGTGACAACTTGTTATATATTTTTTCAAACTGAACAATTTTTAATTGGATAGCTTTCCTATTATATGTGTGACAACTTTTTAAGTAGTATATATATATATATTGCAATAAATTTATATTTTGTGTATACAAAAACAAACAATCGATTTACTATACAAAAGTTTGAAAATTTTCCTTTTAAAAACAATTGACAAAAAGAATACCAATAAAGGAAATTGGTGTATATCTCAAAAAAAAAAAAAAAAAATTGTATATATCTCATATAAAATCGTTCATTCTCAAAATTTGCTGCAATGAAAAATATATTTAATATAAATATATTTAGATATTAATATAAATTTATATTTTGTAATTGTTGGTTCTAATAATTATGATAAAATAAAAAAAAAATCCTCACAAAATGAGAATTCCAAAATTGACGCCATGTAAATTTAAATATTACTATAAAATTATTTTTTTGTGTGTATGTAAATATATGCTAATACAAATCAATGATTCTAATAAATCTATTAAAATAAAAAAGAATCCTTGATAAATAAGAGTTCCAAAATCGACTACATATAATTATTTACATAATCTTTGCCTACAAAACACTATCAATGTAATTAAAGAAAACCAAGAATTTACTAAAACAAACACAAACCGAAAATCGAGTTATATGAAAATAATGCAATTAATGATTTATTTTTTATTTAGATTATTTTATTATTTTATATTATTTCCATCTATAGTAGGTAATTAATGTTTTGGGCCGAAAATGCTCATAAAATGTTCGGGTATGAAAAAATCATATGTTATTAAAAACCTAATTGTAAACAACATTATTAGTTTGATTACTGGACACACTACAATAAAATGATAAAATTACAATGGAAATCTATTACAAAAGAAATTATTCCAACGGATATTTCAATACTATTATTTCTGTTGGAAATTTTCAATAGATTCCAACGGAAATTCAAACAAAAATATTCCGTTGGAATGAGTTTTCCATTAGAATTTCCGTTGGATTTTGACGATTCCAACGGTGGATTTTCAATGGGGTGGAAATAAAAATTTCAACAGAATTTGCATATTGCAACGGAAATTCCTACGGTAAAAAAACCATTTAAAATATAGCAGTTAAAATTATCAAATTTCTAAGATTGACACTCACTCTTGTTTATCGTCATGACAATATAAATGAATGTTTATCTAAAAAACTTAATCTTTGAAATGTAGTGATCGTGTGTTATTTTTTAATTTTGTCATTGATGGACTCTTTTATTAATTAGTTGGTTTGAAACTTTGAATCAATATATAACAAATTATGTTGTCAATCGTTATTAGAGTTTTTAAATTAATTTGTGTAAATGCATAAATAAAAAGAAACCTAAACTATGAAAAAATTTTCATCTTTTGAAATCAAATAAATGACAAACACTATCTTTTCAAATACATAGTGATAATGATTATAACATTGTATTATCAAAACCGATAAGGTATATAAAATTCGTTTTCCTTTACAAATCGATAATGAAGAAAAAAGTCTAATTGGTGAAAAGATGATATATACAAATCATGATTTAGAAATCTGATATATTCAAATCTTAGCATGCGGTTTCAAATAATTTAATAATATAATAATAGGCTGAATGAATTATGATTCAGATTCATGCAAAGAAAATTTTGAACAAATTTCTAAACTCATGACATATACAAATCATGATTTTCCTTGGAAATTTATTCGGATTTCCAAATTGTTTGGAAATCACGATTTCTAAAATCATGATTTATTCGGATTTACATTCGGATTTCCAATTGTTTTAAAAAATAGGAGATTTATTCCTATTTTGATTCCTTATTGATTACCAATATAAAAGTATTTGATGTTATTAATAAAAAAAAATTGATTTACTATTTTTAGGAGATAATTAATGAAAGTGGTGGGAAATTATTTTTAAATTTGTTTTATGTTAATCCTTATTATATAAGATTAACATATATGTTAACATATTACTTTCACGTAAATACTAATATATATATATATAAAATTTCTAGCAATTATTAGAAATACGATTGATTCTTAAAAAGAATCTTTAATTCACAATTATTAATTAAATGTTTTATATTGTATTATAAAATAATTTAAAAATACGTATGGTAAGTGTATTTTTTAAATTAAGTGTATTAAGTATGTATGGTAAGTGTATTTCTTAGATTTATTTTTATTTTTATTCCATATTTTTGATTGCATTCTTAAAAAAAAAAATTGGATAAAAAAGATATGCTAATAAATAAATATTTTGTTAATTTACTATTTTTAGGCAATAATTAATGAAATTGGCGGGAATGTGTTTCTAAAAATGAATGATGTTAATCCTTATTATATATTAATAGATTTCAAGAAAATCTCAAAATTCTAAAATTCCTTTTTATCAAAAGAATTTTGTAGAGATATGAATTTATAAACTACTTCATAATACTTGATTATTATTTTATGCACTCTCTTTATATGTAAAGAATAATGTGTGAATGTTATTAGTAAAACATATAAATAATCTATGTTATAAATTCAAATTAAGAAACTATTTCATAATACATTCGATATCTATGCAATGTAGGCCCCCCAATCCGCCTTTTAATACATTGATGCGGTACGGCAGAGCAATAGGAGCAATTTGTACACGAAACCCCACCGTGGTTAGAAGGACCCTAGAGCAGGTGATGTAACCCCTCTCTCAAACATTACTCAAAGGACAAAAAAGAATAAAAAAAACGAAAACAATAAACAAACACATACAAAAAATCCAAGTCTCGATTTTGACTCAGCCGCCGGCTGCTAAATGCGAACAACGCAACCGGGAGATGTTTATGCTGATGTGATGATTTTGCAAGTGTTGACTGTTTTCGATGCTTTTGCAATTTTTTTGGGGTAAAAAAATAAGTAGAAAGATATATTGTTAAGGGGGGTTTTCCGGTCAAAAACCAAGGTATTTGTAAATGGCGGTGGGCCGGAGAGAGAAGGGCAGCCAATCGTTATCCCGGCGAACGCGAATCGCGGCGGCGATTGGGATCGGAGTGATTTTGGGATGCGTGTTTGCGTTTTTGTTCCCTCATGGGGTTTTCTCCTCCAATCAGTCAACTCTAGATCGGCCCCTTTCGAATTCCAACCTACAGGTGCCTGTTTTGATTTCGTTTCCATTTTCCCTTTTTTCTACTTTGTGTGTAATCTTTGGGGAGTGATGATTTCCTGTTGAGATGCTCCCGTAATGCACTTAAATTTGTGTGCTATTTGACAGTTTGGGTTCTACCTTGTGTTATTTATCGTTGAGGGGGGTTGACTTTAGTGTACTAGAGTGCTTCAATTTGTTTTATTTTGAATTTCTTAGATAGTTGAGTTCAACTTCATGTAGATCAATTGTATTTCTTTCAATTTTAGAGTTCTTTTGTTCAGTTTTAATTTTGTTCATTTGGTCAAGTTCTGATCTTGTACGCATGCTTAAACATGATCCAATTTCATGTTCATATCACAGTTGTTTTACTATTTACATGTCAGCGTTGACATGACTTTGTCTCAGTTGAAAGCACACTGGTTGAACTTAACAAATTTAAACACACTTCCCACAGGTAGATCAACCCGTATGTGAGTCGACCGAGAAAATAAGCCAGCTAAAGTCCAACATCATGACTTTATCAGACAAGAACGCCGAGTTGAAAAGGCAAGTCCGGGAATTGAACGACAAACTGCGGTTGGCTGAGCAGGGCAACGATGTTGCGCGGGAGGAGTTTCTCGTGTTGGGCAAACCTCACAAGGCAGGGCCTTTTGGCACCGTCAAGGGTTTAAGGACGAATCCCACTGTTCTTCCAGACGAGACCATAAACCCACGGCTCGCGAAAATCCTGGCAAAAGTCGCAGTCCGTAAGGAGCTCATAGTTGCTCTAGCCAACTCTCATGTAAAACCCATGCTCGAGGTCTGGTTCACCAACATTAAGAAAGTGGGCATCCCGAATTATTTAGTTGTGGCATTAGATGATGAAATTGCGGATTTCTGCAAGTCAAACGATGTCCCTTTTTACCAGAGAGACCCTGACGAGGCAATCGACTCTGTGGGAAAAACGGGTGGGAATCACGCGGTCTCGGGACTTAAGTTCCGAATCTTGAGGGAGTTTTTGCAGTTGGGCTATAGTGTTCTGCTTTCGGATGTTGATATTGTGTTTCTACAAAACCCGTTTGATCACTTGTACAGGGATTCTGATGTGGAGTCGATGTCGGATGGCCATAATAACATGACAGCTTATGGGTTTAACGATGTTTTTGACGAGCCTGCCATGGGTTGGGCCCGCTATGCTCACACGATGAGGATTTGGGTCTATAATTCTGGGTTTTTCTACATAAGGCCCACAATCCCTGCTATTGAGCTTTTGGACCGGATTGCGGGCAGGCTGGCTCGGGAGGCAAAAGCATGGGATCAAGCTGTGTTTAATGAGGAGCTGTTTTTCCCTTCACATCCTGGGTACGTAGGACTTCATGCTGCCAAGAGGACTATGGATTTTTACCTGTTTATGAACAGCAAGGTTCTTTTCAAGACTGTAAGGAAAGATGGTAATTTGAAGAAACTGAGGCCTGTTATTGTTCATGTTAATTATCATCCGGACAAATTCCCTAGGATGAAAGCTGTTGTCGAATACTATGTGAATGGGAAGCAAGATGCTCTGGATCCATTTCCTGATGGGTCTGAATGACGGTGAGAGATGGGAACTGCTGTCTCGGATTTACATGATATTTTCCGCTCGTTCTCATGGTGCAACACAGGATAAATCTTTTTGCAGGAGTATGCTATGCTAATGTCACTTTTTTGGCTTTTGGCTTTTGGTTTGTTGGTTTAATGTAGTTCCTCCGGAACACAAGAATGATATATATATCTGAATCTTATCAGCTTCACTTTATCTTGTTTGTTCTACTGTTAGCCGGCCCCTTGGAATATTTGGTGGAAACTTTACTCTAAAATGTGCTTCAGGTGCTCGATCATCCTCTTGAGATTGGGTTCGAGGTTTGAGCAAATAATTAGATAGTTCTGCGTCAGGTACTACATGTAGCTTGTATTGGCTTTTTAAGGTATTCTTAATGGGATCACATTTTGCCTTCTATTTACCGCCCTAGCTTATTCGATTTATGTCCTATGTAAGTTTCTTGAGATGACTATTATTAATTCAGCTAGAACATTAGAAAAAGGACGATTAACAAATTTAGCCCTGAGTCCTGATGTATAGTTTTACTACAAGTCTACAAGTATCTAGTTACCTTTCAAAATTATGAAGACCTCCCTCCTTAAGGTGTTGTAAAACATACCTTTGAGGTTCGTGTTCACCTTGCCATGACCCCCTCTCAATGATGCAATTTGAATATAATAATGTTAACCGGACATTTGTAATTTGGAAAGTAGCTGGGGATATTTGCAATTAGACTGATCTATAGTACGTAATAACCCATCTGAGAAATCATCTTATGCATATGAAAAAATGATACAGCGACCCAAGGTACAACAACGTGCAACTAAGATTTCATACTTGATTCTTGAAATTATTATTATATCATGCTCAGAATTTGGAGTCATTTTACTTTTTCTCTTTGTCTGAGTGTGAGCTGGTGCATTCTGGGGGTGGTGGGGCCGGCTGGGTGGCTTCGTCATCTCCCCTTGAGATAGAATCTCGAGATAAATTTGAACGAGAGCTTGGGGAAGCTGGTCGGTTGGACGGTGGTTGAAAGAAAATATAGATACGGGAGCCATCTCTAATGCCATAATCTTTTACAGGGCTTTGATCATTATCCAGCAAGTATTGATTGTCATCAGCATTGAGCATGAGAATGAGTCGTTGAGTCGGGAGGTTTTCTTGGTTCCCTATTTTATTCTTTAAGTCTTCAACTGTGGCCTCTTCTTCTATTTTGACACTGAACAAGCTTCCTGTTAGTACCTCTGCTACGAGCTCCATTTTCTTTGTTTTTTCTCGCCTTTTCTTGTAAGGAATACTTGGCTTTGGTGGAATCAGATGAGTCTGATTTAAATGTGTTGCGTGCATGCAGATGGGATTGTGTGTGCATTGTGATTGCATGCAAGTGTGAGTTGGTTTGGGAGCTTATTTGAGGCGTTGGGCTCATGCAAAACTTCACTTGTGATGTTGTGCTTGAAGCATCTCCAGTTTATGGAGTTTATGGATGTCAATACTGTATATGCAAATCTTCACTCTTGATAGTGTGCTTAGAGCATTTCTAGTTTATGGATGTCAACACTGCAGATTTTATGCCACATATCAGTAAATAATTGTAATGTGAATCGGGAAAAATACATACATAGCCCCTAGACTAGAAATATCTACATAAATACTATTAGAAGGAAACTTAATCAAAAGAGGAATTAGAAGTGATTTTATTTTCAAAAATACGAGATAGTAAATAAATCATGAGATATATTTGTTCTCTCTCCATTTATTGAAGGTCATCAAGCGAGATTGACGCCAAAAAAACGGCAAAACACGTTCAACAGAAAAAAAAATGAAAAAGAGGGCGATCGTGATTTCCTATAATCCAGGAAATCAAGAATTCAAACATCAGAGCAAGGAAGAATCTCGGCGTCAACAGATTAGTGGGTACCAAAAAACACTTGCGAAGGAAAAAATTCGCTTGTTGTTCGTGACCAAATAACGTGAATTAGTCTTGATTCAAAGA